AGTGAGGTATTTAAGGAGTGGTTTTACCAGTTCTTCCCTCCCCCAGTGAGGTTCCATGACAGAGCCTAGGAATCAAACCCAGGTCTCCGGAGTCCTTAGTTCATTACTCTGTCCACTGCACCACACTGGGTACCCCTAGGATACTCTGGCCACAGGCATTTAAACATGCTGAATGGGACCCATTTTAGATTGAAACAAGCAAATCATATTAGGAATGTCCTAGGAAAAGCAACTGGGAATGGATTGTAGATCTGTAAATGGAGACCTAGATATAGAGAAGTAGATACGTCCTTGGATTTTTCTGTCCATCTTTACCTTTTTCTCACGACAGTGCTTAATGAATCACCTGTCCTAAAAAACTTTCATATCCACAGGGGGCATAACGCAACAGCATTGATCAATATCAATGCATTCCAAGTATGGGTCCAGGAAGAAAAATGCTGCTTGCCAAAAAACTACTCTGGATGGGGTCACCCAGAGAACTGCAACGTACAGACCTGTTCCATTTTCCCTTCTGGCTCTTGCAGAGTGTGGGCGGCATGCAAATTGAATGGATAGATAAATTTTCTGCATTCTTCCTTCCAGTTCTTCCTAGTATAGTTGCTGCACCACATTGTAATGGTCTACTCTACTGACTGAAAATTTAGTGTATTCAGGGTGGCAAAGTTACTGAAAAAAATGTTTTTTAATGGCTCAAGAAGGATACTTCAAGTACTAGAGGATGCAACTATGATAAAGACTATTTTTATAGGCATTTTGTCTTATGGTGGAAGAAGTTACCATTCAAACAGATATGGAGTTCGTTCACAACAGATCAGGCAACATCCAAAGAAACAAAACAAGCCAAAATCATGTGGCACCTTAAAGACTATTTAATTTTAATGTACGCTTTTGTCCACTTTGTCAAACATGGAAACAGAATGAAAAGTTGGATGAAATATCAGTTTAACAAGTAAAAGATTCTCAATATTCATTGGCTCTTGGTATAGTACAACTACATAGAGTAATTTATGGCCCGTGTTGTTTTAGGGTACTGTTGTAAATGGAGATGGGATATTCGTATTTGTCTCCCTCGGGAGACAAATACAAATATTGCCACCATAGACTGTGCGTGCTGCAAGTGGTAAGTGGACCGTCCGGTTCTGAGGGGGGTGGTGGGTCTAAAGGGCTTGGCTATTTGTGGTGGCGATATGCATATTTCCCATCAATACAAATATCCCATCACTAGTTGTAAACTATCCTTCAGGAGACAGAAAACAGACATCAAACTGAGCAAAGATGAGGACATAACATTTTCTCATTGGGTTTGCTCCATTCTTTGCATTATTTCCATGATCTAACATCTCAATGCTTTGAGAAATAATAGTTACAGTTTTCTAAAATATCACCAAGAAGTATGCAATCAACTGGCCTGCTAAAATCAGTGCCTGTATATTTCTGCAAAGCATTATATTCCATATTGTCAGGTTTTTCTTTGCTTCTAGAGACCAATTTCTAGCAGGTCATCTTGAAAAGGTTTTGGGCAGGAACTATTCTAAATTCTAACACTTGCGATTTATGAATATATTACAACAACAACCGCACATGTGATCATTGCAAGCTTCTTCTGCCAGAGCCCTCCTTCACAGGTGCACAGCAGGAATGAGCGGCTGTGGATGACTAGAACGTGTCATGTCATGACTCAGTATTACTTCTCAGTGGATGTACATTTACCCAGAAGGGATAGTATCTGAGTGAAGAAAGTAGATCAACTAAATGGAGGTAAAGCCCAATTTCAGGTGGCTGGCAAGCTGATACAGTCTCAACAGAGGTCCTCCCCCCGCCTCAAATGTCTGACATTATTCAGGCTGTCTTGAGAGAAGCAACAACTAGCATTCTGTGTCCAGACGCTGGAGAAATTTATTTCCAACCATATGGAAAACATTCAGAGAATATAATGGGGCTCTGGAGTTACAGTAATGGTACATTACACAGCAGAGACACCTCCTAATGGGAAGTTTCTTCTTTGGAAAAATAAAAGTACCTAATGCAGCCATAGTGAAGCCTTACTCGTCCCTTTGATTTTACACTGGGAAAAAGAAAAATATTAAATACATCCCTAACTTTTCTACAGAAATTAATAGGACTTTAAAATACACTCCTCTTACTGTCTTTCAACAATAGATTTGCTGCCCTTTCTGAGGTGACTGGACTTGTCCATTTGGGGCAGCAGAAAAGAGCTTGAACTAGATTAATAAGGCAATGGCACCACACCACACATATTGCTATTTTTGTTACTAGGTATGTTTCACAGGACAAATACATGCCAAGGTATTTAATGTTCAAAAGCACCACCAATCAGGACACAGATCTGTAAATGGGTGTATATATACAGAGATTCTCTCAAGGCACATCACAGCTTACGTAGTTGCTTTGCCAGATCAGGGAATTCTGGGAACTGCAGCCCAAAATACAACTTTTTAAAGCGTTGAGGCACATTGCTGGGAAACTGCTACAGATGAGTAAGACATTCCAGCTCCAGTCCAGCCTTCCCTGCCTCCCTCCCTCCCCTGGCCCCACCTTTTCCCTCTCCCTCACGGAACCTATAAATCAGTTCTGTCAGGTAGCTGGGAAGCAGCTGCTAATGATAGTTTTGCTCTGGAGGAGAGGAAGTCACCTTTTAACCCTGCCTGCTGTTGTTTGTCTTATAACTATGACAAGAGAACAGACGAAAACAACATGCCAACTGTCACAAGAGGCTCTGGTCACAATTGTGCAGGAAGCCCATCTCAGACCTACAGCCTCTCAGGTGACAGTTAATGAAAAGAGGGGACTGGGTCCATTGTTTTCCCATTGCTTTTCCCAAGCAGCTTCTCTTTATGTAAAAAAATATAAATAAACAAAATGCTCCATGAAAAATCACTAAACAAAGAAGTCAAAGAATGTTGTGCATTGCAGCTATTTCCTTTAAAAAAAAAAGAGAGAAAGAGAGAGAATTATGACATTTTCACTGTGCGGTGCAGCCCATGCGTATTTATGATCATACAAAAGTTCTTACAAATAAGAGTTTCTTGCTCACACATTCACACTGTGCCAATGCGCACATTCCAATTTTGTTTTTATCCATTCTCAATGCAGAGATTCAACAACCCATACTGAACAGCATTTGCTCCACCTACTTCATCCATTTTGTAATCTTTGAAATGATTTTAAAAATATACTACTACTACTACTACAGTACTACAGTACTACTACTACTACTACTGAGTCCTTGCCCCAAGGAGCTTAAAATCAAAAGTTCAGCATAGGGAAAAAAAAAAAAAAGGAGAAGGGGGGGGGGGGAAGAAACAGCTAAACAGTTTTGGGTGTTTTTCCCCTGTTGCATGTGCTTCTGTTTTGTTTCAACAGGATTGGGCTAGCAATTTCCAGAGATGAAGGAGCTGCCTCTAGACTCCAAGCTCTTAGAGAGCTGTACCTCCCATTTCCCCCCGAAATCCCCTGTGCCGCCCTTCTCCCCAATGTTTTGGCCCTTTAAAAAAAAAAGCCAACTATACTTCTCTCTCAGAAGCCCCTGGCTTTGGGCAAAAGGACCAAATTTGTTTTTGTCCCCTTCAAACAGAAGAGATATTCTAAAACTGGGCTTCATTTTTCCTATCTCTGTAGTAGGATGCAAGAAGAAACAAGATAGAACAAATTGTAAGCGAAAACTACGAGATGTTGGGTTTTTAAACAGTCTGAAAACAGCCTGAGGGTTATATGTAAAAGGGAGGATATTTTGTATGCTGTTTTAGCCTCCTTGGAGAAAACATGGGATATAAATGCAATAATAAAGGGCTCCAAGCACTGCAGAAAGCATAGGGTTATGGGAACGATATGTGTATCAATTAAAAGAATTATATAAGACACTGTAACAGAATCCGGTAGTCACGAAGTCAGTTCTTACAGATGCATGCCCGTTTCTGAATCCTGGGGATGCAGACAAGATCTCTGGTATGATAAAGTCTCTCAAGTGCTCTTTGGACCCATGCCTGACACAGCTGATTAAATCTGCCAGGGCAGAGTTGAGTGAGGAGGGTCAATGAGGTGGGAGATGCCTGCATGAAAGAATGTGAGGCTCTGGTTCCTCCTAAGGAGGCTGTCGTGAAAAACCTTCTAAAGAAAACATCACTTAACTAAGATGTGGGTCTTTAAAGCCAAATGGCTCTCTCATCTAGAGGGACCTGCTGAATTAATAGGGTTTGTACAAGCACTGACTTGCTATTCAGCAACTGGTCAATGGGTTTAACTTTTGTTCATCTGAACTACAGCTGGCCTACTGAATCAGTGAGATTGACAAGAGCACTGATTTACCTTTGAATGATTAATAATTATTAATTCAACTGGTCCAACTTTAATTAATTCAGCTGGTCTAAATTGAGGTAAAACTTAGTAACAGGATTTAGGCCAGACTTTTAAAATGTGACAATGAACATTTCTGATAGAGAACACGACTGTCAAGCATATGGTGGCCAATACAACAACAACAACAACAACAACACGACTGTCGAGCATATGGTGGCCAGTTACATGAGGTTTTGGGTAAACTATATTATGATAATGAGCTCCACCCTTTCATAAGCAAAAATGTTGGTTGCAATTGAAACTACAGCACTGTCTGTGAAGTTAGTTGTAAGTAGGCCTTTTTCTTTTATTTTAGTTAGAGCCTCTGCTAATCTATTTGACACCCTGCTTTTTATGAGGCTTCTACATGTGTTTATTGTTCTGGTGCTGTTTCATTGCTGCTCTTTGTATTTTTGTAGTGTGATTTTATAAGCCACTTTGAGTATGAATTTTTCACAAGCCCTAACATTAACATTAATATCAAAACAATTATTTTCAGTCATAGATTGCCACATAAGTTTAGATTCTTTGGATGCTTTTGCTCAGACGGATTATAACCAGAATTAAAATGCACCACAGTGTTTGTCAAAAACAAGTCACCCAGAAGGCACAAAGAGCAATTCCCAGTAAAAGATACTTACTGTAAAGACATCATCATCTCCAACTTCAGTCTCATTGTGGATTGTTGAGGATGAAGTTGTAGATCCTGTAAAGATATTTAAAATGCATGCCATTTCAATACAAATCACCACAATCTAGCAAGCCTTCCACCTGGGTGCAAGTACACATTTGGGGCGTCAGTTTCTGACAGTGTGTCTCATAAGCCACAGTTTTAAGGTTGCCTGCACTTCAAAAGCCAACTGGTGACAGGAGGGGGTTGTACACGGGGGAGGGGAAAATACCTAAACAATGCGCCCAGCTGCATGCTTAGAACTGACGTATACACTATTCTGGACTGTAGCCCACATTTTTTGTGTGTTTTTTGTTTGACAGGAGGGGGTTGTACACGGGGGAGGGAAAAAATACCTAAACAATGAGCCGAGCTGCATGCTTAGAACTGACGTATAGACTATTCTGGACTGTAGCCCACATTTTTTTTTGTTTTTTGTTTTTTTGTTTTTACAGAAGCAATGAATTTGGTCTTAATATTGGGATGAGCTCCTAAACAGATCTTTCAAAATAGGAAAGAGTCATCTTAGATAGGTTAGAAAAAGTGACTACAAAAGCTGTTTAACATTTCAAAGTTTAACTTGGTCTCTTTTTTAAAGTATTTTATTTTATTTCATTTATTTAATTTATACCCCACCTATCTGGTGGGTGAGGAAGGATTGTTTTTAAAAATGAAAGGACAAGGGATTTTTAAAAATAATATATATAACTGCTTAATGCCGGGGTGTAAAATTCAAGGGAAAAAAAAAACAATCACGGGAAAAATTCGCAGAATGCAAATAGAGATGGGCACTAACCGCAGGTTCATGCCAGTTCAAACTTCATCCAAACAGGTGTTTGGCATTTCCCAGCCCTGCCTCCTCTGGCAGGTGCCCAATCAGAGGCACTGCCTGGAGGATGTGGGGCAGGGAAGCCAGGGCACTGCTTCTGAGTGGGTGCTTTCAGTTTGTGCTCATCTCTAAATGCAAATAAAGGACACAGTTGCTTCAAACCTATCAATATGAGAATGGAAAGTTAAGCAATGTTGTGTTGCACTTGGACTCCAACTCCCAGAAATCCTGGCCAGTATTAGTGGTGAAGGTTTCTGGGAGGTTTAGTCCAGTGCTGTAGAGAGGTGGTCCCCAACCTTGGGCCTCCAGATGTTCTTAGACTACAACTCCCAGAAGCCTTCACCACCTCTGCTGGCCAGAATTTCTGGGACGAAGTTCAAGAACATCTGGAGGCCCACAGTTGGGGACCACTGCTGTAGAGGACTTAAACTGCATTCTCCTAATATATGGCAAGTCTGAGCCTTTGATTGAAGGAATAGCCAATTTGAGTGAAAGGTGTGCAGAAATTAGCTTTCAAGTTCTCACCCCCCCCCAAAAACAGAGCCAGCTGGGTTAAAAAAAAAAAAAAGGAAACTGCTAATTACTGTTCAGTACCTTCCATGAGGTCTTCAATGGCTTTCCTCACACCCCTATCAAATGCACGTGCATCTGCAGGGCTTAAAAAAGTGAGTCCAAACTTTCTGTTGTCAACTTTCCAGTGGTGAAATGTAGGGTTTGCTTTAGTGTAGACAAGGTCCTTCTTCACATAGCATTCCAATACCACCTGTGGTTTAAAAGTGAAAAGACATGAAATGATATTCATTATGTGAAGAACATTGGGTTTTTTTTCATATGGTTCACCGCTTCCTTTCTCACACTAAAAAAAACTAAAGAAGACATTTATATCTGTTTTCTTTGCCACTGCTCTCTCTCTCTCTTCACGTAAGGAGTTATTGGAAATAGTCAGTGAGTGAAACCAAAAGTTTTTTCTTCTTGACTGAGGAACACATTCCAGATCATACACAACATTGCATTTCAGTCCACAACAGAGCTTCAAATTCTCCTAGGCAAACCAAATTCTTCCGCACAAAGTATATTCTTAATGTGTTCACTGTAACAGGGACCTGTTTGTTTTCACAAATGCTGACTCTAAAATAAAATAAAATAAATCGTAACATATAGTTTTACTGCCTTTCTATTCTCAACAAAATTAAATGTACACAGCAGGAGACAGACATTCCTTGCTCCAATGGCAAACTGATTAAACCATCCAGTCCATGTAGAACAAAACCTGGTCCATTTTTCTTCTCAGTTAACTAGAGATATCTGAAGAATACACTGATTTGTTGGGTAGTGTCTAAAACTTGGAGAGTTCTGCTCAACAGAAGGATTCAGCAAAGGCACTTGGTGAGTCTGAGCTAGGGATGCAGTCAAACTTAACCTGTAAGGTTTTTATGAGGATGAAATGGCCTAATCCCATGTAGAATACTCAAGAGATTCTTGGAAGAAGGAGCTCATCTTAAAACAGGTGACATCTATTCTTCAAACATCTTGGTAGTAGAGTACATTTCATTATTTCTGCTAATGACATGTTTTATAGTCACTCTATAGGTCATTGCAAAGACAGTCAGTGTCTCTATTCTCAATAGCCATGTACTGAACAAAGTGATCCAAGGAGTGTACTTCCCCTATCTCCCCTCCCCCCCCACGGTATAATCAAGGAGGACAAGGCTGGCAGGCAGCTGGACAGGAACACTTCACATGGCTCTGTTCCCTATTGGAGCACCTCCCCCCACCCCGTCCAAACCACTCCTCTCAGGTCACATTACTGAGGGTGCCTACCCTGAGACAAAAGAAATATAATATTAGGACTTGGACTTTTTCAGCAGTGGAACCCTCACTGTGGCATAAACTTCCACCAGAAACTAGGGAGACCTCCTCCCTAAAAGTTTTTAGAACATTCATTAAAAACAGAACTGTTTAAGGAGGACTTTGGCAACATCTTAGGCTAATTTTCAAGACCTGTACACCACTGTCACCACTGATTATTTTTTATTGTACTACTGTATATTTTGTTTATTATGTTATGATTTATGTAACTTGGTTTAATTTAAGTTACAGTATCAGGTGTCAATATTACGTTGCCATTCCTGTTTTAGTTTGTGGTGTCATGCATTCTGATTTCTTTTTATCATATTAGTTGTATGTTTTGCCTAGTTACGTAAACTGCACCTGAGTAGTGTTCTCACTGAGTTGTGCAGTCTATAAGCTCTATAAGCAAGCAAGCAAGCAAGCAAGCAAGCAAGCAAGCAAGCAAGCAAGCAAGCAAGCAAGCAAACGTTTTGTAGCAATTTATCACTTGAAACACATGAAACCCAAAGCGTCAACATTCAGGTGTGCTCTATGAAACTCCCCAATTATCCTTTTAGCATGTTTTGATTTTTTTGGGGTGGTGGTGGAATATAGTTCAGTGCTGTCCATCCGCAGGTTATTTTGTTGGCGGGTCCCCATCTGTAGATGAAACCTCTATTTGGCAGGGAGCTGCCTCCTTCAGTGTCACGATTTACAAATCTCTCTTCCCTTCCCTTCCCTTCTGGTTTTATTTTGTGCAAAGAAGCAGGAACTCTAGGTTCTATAAACAGCAATGGTAAAGGAGGCCAGTGTCAATCTGCAAGACAAATGACCCTGGCCTTTTTCACTCCACCAGCCTATATACATCAAACAGGAGGCAGCATCAATAATTCATTGCTGTTTTAAAAGCTTGAATTACTCCAGGCAATGTGACTGGCTTTGTCAATTCTTTAGCTTTAACTTGCTATGCTACAGGATTTGGAGGTGTGCGGGTGGGTGGGTGGGCAGTGTCAGTTTCCTTTCTTCAAGAAAAAACTAAATAAACTATATGAAAATACTTGGTGCATCTTATATTTTGGGGAGGTGATAGATAATGCTCTTGTGAATTGGGAGGACTTTTTCCTTCTTTATTTCTTGTTCTTTTTCCTCTTTGGAAAAAGGTGTCACAAATGGTCTAAAGAAATGTGAGGAAAGAGACTGTTCTGGTGGCAGCAGGAAAATGAATGGGAAGCAGATTCTGCAAGAGATTTAAGTTACCAGTTTGTCTTTCTGCCGTTCTCCATGGATCAGAAACCCGCTTCTTCCATTGCCCTCTGGGCACATGACCTTGCAGACACCAACTCTACTAAGACCGCCTCCTTCTTGTGGCAACCATCCTCCACTGGAGTCATCTCGGGTCATAACCACAGCTTTGACTCTCACAATATAGCTGTCACTGTAACAGACAACAAGAACAAGAGGCCATTACATCAGAGAGCACGTTTCACAGATTGCAACATCTCCTTATCTAAATGTAGAGGAAAAACCAGCCGGGTCCCTGCAGATGGGGAGAGAAAGGTAGCAATAGTTTCTCTACTGTCATACAAACAAAACACGGCTGATAATAATAAGAGATATTAGTGTTGTTCCAAACAGCCCGAGGAACCAGACATAAAACCACATTAGGAAAGTCTGAGATAGCCAGTGTGAGGCTGTAGGCTACACTCAGGACAGATGGGTTCAAATCCTCTCCAAACCACAAAGCTCACTGGTGTCCTTGGGCCAGTCATAGTCTCTCAGCCCAATAGTTCTTACAGAGCTATTGTGAGAACACAGTGTGGTGGGAGAACCATGGACACCACCTTGCCTTCACTGAGGATCTAAATGAATGCAATCAATCAATCAATCAATCAATCAATCAATCAATCAATCAATCAATCAGAAAGATAGTTTTTATTCTGAACACAAAACCTACTAAAATTCTTTAAGTTAACACAAGAATTCATACACAGAAGGTGTATTTGTGTGTTTGTCAGAAATGTTTTGTGGCTTTGGAAACATAAGTTGGAAGTGATTATGAAAACCTGATGTTGTGATGGAAGCCTGAGCTAAAACAACAAGATGATGGTGTCCAGTTTTATCTCTGTCTAGTGTACACCAAGTTAAAAAAATGGGACTCGTTAGTCAACAATAATGCAAGACTGATTTTCTTGTGTCTACTCTATTTGGGATGAAAAATAGATTTAGCTCAAGGTGCACAAGCAGAACACAGGAGACCTTTGGCATAAATGGTTTGATCAAGAAAAGACAAGGATAACAGGTCCTAATTCTGTGCCTGCTGTCTAACATTTTGCTATGTCCTGAATCCTGGAGTCTCATCTGCCTTTATGGTTTTTATAGAGAGAAAAATTTACAGCCGGTTTCTCTCTGCCACAATTTATACAAGCAAACAGTGCCCTTTGCACTCCGTTTTCTTTCTTTCAAAGACCCAACCATGAGACCACTGGGAGATATTGCTTTTAACCCTATTTCACACAGGCTTCAGACTTGTAAGGGAAACAGTTTAAATTCTTTGCAGACTGGCACCAGCCTTCTTGACTGAAGATGTGTGACTTCAGCTATGATGTGTTTAAGAATTTCCATCAGTACGATGAACATTTCCCTGTGTATCACAGCAAATCAACCAGCTTGGACCAAAGAAAAAAACAAGGAACATTCAGAAACCACTCTACTCTCAGTCACTAAACATTCAGACTCAGGTAATGCTCAACATCTGTATCTGTAATGGCCAACCAGGCAACTTGAGACCAAATGAACAGCTGACCAAGATTATTTTTCTAAAAGCTAGCAAGTATTCTGGCAAAGTCAACAAATCAACAACCCCTGGTTTTCCAGGGTTCCAACTCATGTGGGGAACCTCCATGGTCAGTGGAAGCTTTCCATTTGAACCTTCCAGCTTCTAAATGGGAAATAACAATGGAAACATGTTGGGCTAGCAAGCTTCTCCTTCTCACATTTATGCTACATGCGAAACATATGCTCACATGGAGCTTCACTCAGTCTCAGATTTGCAACATGGAGAGGTTCGTGCTGTTTCGAACCCCCTACTGCATTCCTGCATGAACCTTCTGCAACTTTACACAGCATCAAAATGTGTTTCTTCTTCAAAATATATTTTTGAATATATTTACACTGATGCAAGTCCGGTACTCAACTGTTTCAACAAATATGAGCAAGGTATTACAAGGGTACACAAATATTTTCTACCTGTTTTCTGGGCTCACAGTTTTCTAGAATGTTCTTCTCTACCTGCAGAGGCACAACAGGAAAATGCAGTTCAAATTTCTTGAATTTAGACACCTGAAACAGGTGTTAAACTATTGGTAGAATCACTGCAGGGAAGGTACATTTACATTACTCACTACTGATTCTCTGTAAGAACTGAACTACGGGTGTGAAACTACTTCAGAATGAAAGCAGCTGTTGAGTGCCTCAAAATAACACAACCATTGTACTGTACTGTAACCAATCAAGGGAAGTTCTCCACGGTGTCTCAAATGGGCTAATGGAACAACTTAGCAATGACCAAGGCCAGAAATGGATATTAGAGGAAGCCCGTAATTAGCGCTCAAGGGGCATTAAAGGAGTGTATCGGAGTGACTGAAGCAATCTTGCCACATTTGTGCAAGCAGATGTAAAGAAATCCCATGCTTAAATCCTGAAGACCAAGCAGCAAACAAAGCAAACTGATCTGCACAATCTTAAAGGCAAGAGAAAGATGTTCACATCAGTTAAGAATTGCCCTCTTTCACTCTCGAACATCTGTCTCTTGCCTGAGATGGCCACGTGTGCCACGTTACTCCTCAAAATGAAAAGACACAAAACTACATCAAAACAGACAGCAGGGTCCAGTTCTATACTGAAGTGACAGGACGCAGGATGCTTCTGCTGATTGTTTCATGCACCCTCTCTTCTGACACAAGAGAACTACCAGGGTTATAAAGACCCTTGAATGTGTCAACTTCTTGACTTTGCTACTTTTGCTCAACTGATAGTTCAGCAAAAGTGGCAAGAGTTTTGGGAAAATGCAAAGTAAGTGAGGAACGTGCTTTCGGCAAAAAATATGCGAGGCACAGAAGAAATAAATCATCCTAAACTCATCATGATGTTATAAAAAGTGTGCATTTCATAAGCCCCCCTCAGTAATTTCTTAACCCAATAAGCTTACCACGCATAGAGGGAAGTAAATGGATCCTCCCCTCTACACTGTCCCCTTCTCCATGGGGAAAGCCACATGTCTGCAAGGGAACCTTTCTGAGAACAGGGTAGCCTCTACAGGTGAGCAAGGCCCATGGTTATCCCTTCCTCACTCTCTCCACTCTTCCCCAGGAGAAGCAAAAAGCAAGGAGTGCAGAGAGTTGAGGGGACATGCTCTCAGGGACAAAACTGGCTTGTTACAAATCTATAGCATTCTGTGATGGTAGTCTGAGGAAAGCTCTCATAAATGCCAGATAACGATCTATCGAGTAACACAAAATACATTTTATCTCATATTACTGTGGAGCCATCTTTACTCCCCAAAAAAGGCAGGATATAAATCAAAATAAATAAACAGATATTTATACTGAATTTGTAAGGCTTCAAGCAAGAACAGTTCCACAGAGCACAATACTACAGATGCTGGAATCAAACATATGTCTGAAGACCCAATAATGAGAGTATGGGTGGGAAGAGGGAAGGACAGAAATATTTCCTTTCTCTTCCATGTTCTAAGGTGAAAACAGTGGCTTGCAAAACTGTATATTCACTGTGCAATGAAGACACAGATGGATTTCCATTGAAGCCACACATTTCTACACAATGGTTCAATATTTTTTTTTCTAAATTTACTATTTAGACATCCAAGACTGAGGATGTATTTCCATTCGTAGTTACCCAATATAGTATTTGCTATTGTTGTCCAACACAGTCAGAAAAAAAACAGATTTTAAAAATTAATTTGCACTGTCGTATCTGACTCTGTCTCAAACATTGAACTATTCTTCTGAAGGGTCTAAAATCCTCAAATACTTTGTCCAGACGGATACTGCATATTTGCAGCAGCCTACAGTGTTTAACTGACAAGGTATTGGGCAAAGCCTGTACAGTACTAGATGTGTAGTCTGGCATGTCACTGACATGCAACTGGCATCTAGTCAATGAGTCGCTTTGGACATTCATTGTTACTCTTTCACACATGTACATAACATATCCAATGGTGTTTGGCCTTTTTGAAACATTTAGGTAAATTTTTAGGTATTCCTTGGCACTCACAGGATGTTTTAAAAGAGCAAGGCATATACTTTAATAGAGAAAACTGCTGCTTCTAAACACATATGTAGTTAACATTCCTCTAACCCTTCAAGTGTTAGCTGTGTTTTCGTTTTACTTGCAAAGAAACAAAGGAGATGGCTCCAATTCAGCAGACAAAGGAGAGCTAAAGAAGAATAATTTTAAAATTCCCTGCTGACATGATTAAACGATGCCTAAATTTCTACACCCAAGAGTACTGCTCATATTTAGAATCTACACAGCACTTCCAAGGGGTTCAGAATTTACACGCATTGCTCTTATACCGGATGTTAGCAATATTTTATTTCCACACTGTCTTATACTTATCTTGAAAGCGTGGGAAATGGGTAAGCTGCCAGATGATTGGAGGAGGGGGAAAGGTTGTCCCAGTCTTCAAAAGGGCAAAAAGGAGGAATTTATTTATTTATTTATTGCATTTATATCCCACCCATCTAGACATAGTCTACTCTGGGCGGCTCACAACATACAAGATACAAACAATTCAAAATATATACTAACAGTTTTTCAACAGTATACTATACACTACAATATACAATATGATACACGCCCACTCTGAAGCAAGTCCCACTGAGTTCAGTAAGACTTACTCCAAATTAAGTATTGGACTAAGACTCCAGAGAGCAGGGTTCAAATCTCTACTTGGGTATGGAAACGCACCTCTTGATAAAACCATTCCTTATCTTGAAAACTCTATTAAGGTCACTGTAAGTTTGTTTCAACATGAGGACATGTAACAAAAACCAAGTGAGTACAGGGCTGTGGCCTGAAGCAGGGATGAGACGGGTATAGGTTTACACTGCTAATGAGCTAATGGCAAGCCAAAATCTCAAATCTGGGCTAAAGCTCCCAACTAGGTTTACATTTACTATGAATTAGTCCTACCAAGGTTAACGGGGCTTGCAACCAAAAGTATAGGAAACCATAAATGACAAAATCCAACAATTCGTAAAACAAATCACTAGTCTATTTTAAATAACGTAATTAATCCAGGTGAACATTTTAAGATATGAGATATTATCTATAAAGCTATTATGGTGGGAACAGAATCAAAATTATTCTTCAAAGGAATTGATCTATCTAAAGCTTGAGGAAGAGGCTAACCAA